ATGGTTTAAATCATCACAAAAATACATCAATTCCTAACTAATTTTGTATCAATGATATGTTTTAAAATTTGACATATAAATTAAAAATTTATCTTAAAATTCAATAAACAACCTGGGCATCGCACAGAACAATACTATTATGATCCAAAAGAATCGACAGAAACTGGGAATGCTTTGATCTAGAAGAATCAATAGAATGATCGATAATATGAGCACGTGATGCTGATATACCGTGCAGAAGAAAGGGTCTTTATTTCGTGAAAGAGTGCAATTCACATCAAAAGTGTTAATCCATTTAAGAACTTTTAATCTCTAATAAAGAAAAGTGATTTATTAAAGAAAATGGTAAAAAAGGAATTAATAATTAAAATAGAAATAACAGAGTAGCGTGACATCCCACCAATATTTAAAAAGCAAGCAGTGAAAAAGGGTCATTTTGTATGTTTGTTTCCCCTCACTTTTGACAAAGTGTTTACTTTATTTCCAACCAGATTACCCTACCATTAAACTTCAAAGTATTCCCACCTAAATTAAAATATATATAGGACTTTTTTTTTTTTTGGCAAAAGGATATGGTTGTGTGTAATCATCATATTCATCACTGTCGTACTCTGAATCTTGATCTAATATATATGGTCAATATGGAGTATTAACAGCTAAGTAACTGTGAAGGGTCAGTAAGTTTGCGTTCTATTCACCCGCTTTTTATTTTAGAATTTGTTAAATATACTCGGGTGTGTACTGTATACTAATAGGCAGTGGCGGATCCAGGAATTCTAAATAGAGGTAGCATAGAATAATAAGGGGAAAAAAATTAGAAAAAAGTTCTATATTATATATTAGTATTATCGTTTAATAATTAGCCTTTAAATCATTTTGGTAGATAGATTCTATTACTTTATAATTTTTATAAATGAGAGTCCTTCAAAAACGAAAACTTATGTACAAATATAAGTAAAAGTAATCAATAATAAAAAAAATTAAATAAGTAAGAAAATAAAATTAAGATAAGAGACCTGTTGTTTTATGTATAACTGGTCTCTTTTCTTTTAACATTGAAAGTATGTTCAATAAAAAGGCATAATCTAAGAGACCTATTTATATATAACAGATCTCTTTTGTTTTAGTATGGAAAACAGGCGGGTTTGTTGCTACTTTTTATAGCAGCCTCAAAGAGACCTGTTATTTTGAACTCTTTTTTTTTTTCTTTTTTTTTTCCAAAATTTTTAGGGGTAGCATGTGCTACCCCTTGTGCCTTAGTGGATCCGCCACATAATAGGTATTTTATTCTCATTTTGACGATTGTTTTTCATTTAATATGAAGAGCAAAACTAACCTTTGGCTAGTTGGGTATACCGTATACCCAGTGGAAGTATATATAATCTCTTTTTACTTATCAGAACTAATCTGATCTTATTTGAACATTTCTGAACTCATCTGAACTTATTAGAACTTATCTGAACTTATTTTACGAGTAGTTATAAATTGAACATGGGTGACCCTAATTAACCTTATTTGAACTTATTTTTTATGAACTTATTATCTCTAATATGAACTTATCTGAACTTATTTTCTTGAAATAAGTGTAAATAAGGTGAACAGTACATGACATAAATGGATTTTAGTAATATTAGTTTCAAATAACTTCTTTCTGGTGGTGGATCCAGGATTTGGGAAATGGGGTACAAAATGAAGTTCGATAAAAAAAAATTTACAAAATAACATGCGGATTGCAATAATTTTTTCCTAACTAAATTTTGAGTTAATAAATCATAAATCATTCTTTTTTTGTTTGTATTAGTATATATTTGCGTATACGATACACCCCATCCTTCGTCAATAGTCCTATTACTGATAAACTAATATGTCGTGTGTAAAAAAATTTATCTAAGAGTTTATTTGGAACAACGGGTCTCTTTGATCGAAAAAATACTTATCTGGCGCTGAACAATTTAAAATATCACCTAAGAGGCTAAGAGACTAGTTTTTTAAATAGGAGGTCACTTTGAAGCTAACACAAAACACGCGACTGATTCGTTGCCTTGGCTAACTACATATCAGAATCACCTATTTATACAAGCAATCTCTTTTCTTACCATTTTTTTTTTGGTTGCGGAATGGGGGTACAACTGCACCTCTGTGTACCCCCTACATCCGCCACTGCTTCTTTCATGAACAATTTCTATTTTATGTTCTTGTTTGTAAAAATTTTGCAATTATTTATAATATCCTAAATCAATTCAATTAGCAGCATTATGTAGATGCTAAGGATTGGTTACAAAAAAAAAAAAAAAAAAAAAAAAAAAAAAAAAAAAAAATATATATATATATATATATATATATATATATATATATATATATATATATATATATATGAGAGTGAGGGATAGCTCAAGTGGTTAGAGCATCCCTCCCGATTCCAGAAGATCCTGGGATCGATTCTCACCCCGCCCTTGTGGCTCTCTAAACACCAAAAATTCACAAATAGACAAATAGTAAACCCGAGGTTGCTCGTAATATCTCTGAATACAAGTAAATCTCAAAATCATACATTTTTGTTTTGTTTTTGGCAGTATTAGTGAAAAACAAGACACAACTAAACCCGCTACTTTTATATTTTTTGGGTGATTGTTTTTAATATAGGATTAAACTTTTTATTTTTTAAAAACTATTTGAATTTAGGTAGTTATTGAATGGTTTTGAAGAATAACAAAGTTGGAATTTCTTATTTTTATTTTTTTAAGGACAGCAATGGTTTTTTCTTTTTAATTAAAAAAAGTGCATGGGATTTAAGGATTTTAGTTTTTGGAAAATTGTGGTAAATACTTGTAAAACTAATGCCTGAATTATTATACAGATAGATATGTAAGAAAATAACATATTCCTGTATATAGGGTCTTATTTGAAGTGTCTTAATGAATGGGAAGAAAATCAATTTTTAATAATTATCTCAAATATGTAATGTTGAGATAATATTGACATTGACAAATGTACACTATCAAAACAAAAGAAGTAACAAAAAATTTATTAATTATAAACATTTTGTGATGAGTGATTATTATGAAATTGAATTGAAACCAATAAGTGAACTGAGTCGTTGTAAGTCTTATTATTTTATTATCTTCTGATACTTTCATACTTAACTGTTAACTCAAATATATCCAACTTGGATTAGAGGTTTACTTTGTCTTAATTTTTGATTAGTGCTTCTGTTATTTGCTATATGATATACAAAGTGATAACTTAGTGCATCATTAGGGTCACTCACTAATTTAATTTGTACTAATAAAGTTAGCAAGGAAAGTTCAAAGAAGAAAGAAAAAAAAATGGCCAGATTTATCTACAATTCTTAGTGAAAAGAGTAGATAGAAAAGACTAATACAGTAATACTCAATCTCATTTAATAGAAAAAAAAAAGAAAGTATATTTGTATCATTTGCCTTTCTATGACTAATTAAATGACTAATTACTTATTTACCCATTTTGGAATTTTATTTAAAAATTTTATAGTATAAATTCCTTAAAAGCACATGAAAATGAATCTAACATTACTTTAAAATTATATGTCAAATTTTACAAATTATGGTACCTGAAAAATAAAAAAATGTTACCCCAAAAATAAATAGAGATGAAATATTGCAAAACTACTTAACTAGGTATGATGTACGACAACCAAATTTTTTTTTTTTTGTCTGATGGTCTCCACTTATCCACCTTAAAATTGGGAGATCAGTCAGGAATCCATAGTTTCATACTCCTTTTCTTAATAATTTTTTTTTTTAAAATTTAAAAATAATTATATTTCTTAAAGATTAAAGTACTTCCAAGAAAATTAGTTTTGTACATAAAACAATATATCTACAAGAGTTGGTATGCGTTTGAGGGTGATTGGGCTTATGTCATGAAGATCAATAATGGAGTAAAGTGTATCCTTCCTTGCCAAAAGGAAGAACACTAATCTACCTTTATACTACTCAATTTTAAGCAATAAGCAATATTGTGTGATGTGTTGATTGTGTTCTAACAATACATAGTGGATCGGAAATTTGGAAAAAACCCTAATTAAGTTATAGAGTAATAACTAAATATAAGTTACAGAATCGTGTATTCGTGTTAGAGCTCAAAAAACGTTTAATAAAGTCAAAATGTTATCAAACATAGCTCATCAGTATTACTCTTAATTTTGCACTAGACTTGTTCTTAATTTCTTTATCATGCATTCATGCAACACTTCTCATTATGAACTACGGTTATAAAGACTTGGACATCCAAAAAACGTAAAGTGGCATCAATAATTCAATTGATAATTCCTAAAATTCCAAAAACACCTAATATAAAAGAGAGGAAAACTGAAATATAGATAATTCCTACTGCAATTATTCAAGCTATACCTGCACAATTAGACAGCCTAATTACAGGCCTAATTCAATGGTTCCTGTATTTCCAAGAAATGCTTAAGCAAGCAAAAAAATATAAATATAAAAACACAATAGAAGACATAATAAAATTGATACTTGTAAATTGTAATATAGTATTTGCATTAAAGATTAATATGGATAAGGACCTGTCAACCCACCCTTCTCAATCTTAACAGCTAATATTACCCATTTATTAAAAAATGTACACCCCTAAAACTTTGCATGCTTCCAAACAAGAGGTTGAAGAACATTGATACATCCAAATTAAAATAACCTTCTTTATTTCTCTATCTTTCCTTTTCAATTTTTTTTATAAAAAAGTATATGAATTTTCATGCAAAATTTGTTCACTCAATCCATTATTTAGTTTGATTAATCGAAGTATAATTGTTAAAAATTTAAATACCAATAAAAGAAAAAAAATCTTTTAAAATCACCTAAAATGGTACTGCATGATTGGCAATAATATCCTTATCCAAGTATTATAAGCTCCTAAACAAAGGCAACAATTTTCCCACACTTTAATTTTCAAACCAAAAAAACACCTCTCAAAACCCCTAACAAACACCCCAAAAAAACCCAATGGAAGATGGTGACATCCCACCATTTTGGCAACCACCAGCCACCTTAACACGGCGGAACCGACATCGATCATCGTCTCCGATACTAAACTCATCTCTACTCATCATTCTCCTACCCTCCATCGCCCTCCTCTTCACCGTCTTCATAATTATCCCTAGCATACACAAAATTCTACCGATAACAAACAACACCAATAATACTCAAAATCAGAAATCTATATCAGTCAAAAAGAGTTGGGACTTGCTCAACATTACTCTAGTCCTCTTTGCTATCTTATGTGGCATTTTCGCCAAACGAAACGATGATCCATCATCCATCACAACAATTGAACGTGATGAACATGTCCAACAACATCCCACACAAACTCGTAGTACTAGTACGACTACTAGTACTACTACTGGTTCACTACGAAGGAGTAAAACAATGATGCACAACTACAATCATTCATCAACAAGCGTACCACAATGGTTCGAGTACTCGCAGCAGCAGAGGATCACTACATCTCCTACAAACACTCCTCAACCGGATACCGGCATCTCCCGGTTACGCCGGACAGTTAGCTCTGATCCTTACATGAAGTATACTAACAATAATGATAATCATAATAATACCAAGAATACCCAGTTCCGGTTTTTCGATGATCTCGACATCAGTAGATTTTATCCTAAAGATGAAGAGTATAAACCTCAACTTGCTGAGGCTACAATGTCACCGCCGGAATTCGAAAAAACTCCGGTAAAGGATATCGGAGTCGATAATTCTGAATTACGAAATAGAGGAGAATCACAATCGCCGACATTCTCTCCGCCGCAAACACCGCCGCGAAATCCACCAGCTCCGTCTCCTCCTCCGCCACCGCCGCCGCCTCCGGCGAAGCAGAGACGAACATTCCAGACGATTCCTCGAAGAGAGCAGGTTCCGCCATCTCCGCCACCACCTCCTCCACCGCCACCTCCGCCGCAGATGCCACGTGGACGGGAGGAGAAGAGGAGAAGTTCGCGAAAGCGAATGAACGCAACGAAGGAGATCGCAACAGCAATTGTTCATCTCTACAGTCAACGCAAGCGAAAACGACGACAAAAATCGCAGAAACCAACCAGAAATTTCGAAGATTTTTCATCGGAAAATCGATCGCAATTCTTTCCTCCGCCGTCACCGCCGCCTCCTCCTCCGCCATTACCACCGCATCCGTCATCTGCTTTCAAAAGCTGGTTCAAAAAAGGGAGCAAAACAAAGAAGATTCACTCGTTTTCCTCCATACCTAAACCTCCACCACCGCCGATTCGGCAAAAACCGGCGAACTCCGACGGAAAACCGCCATTACCGGCGAGGAGAGATACCGGAGTGCCTCCACCACCGCCTCCGCCTCCGTATAAGGTAAGGCCGGAGATCATCGATGGAGATGAAGCGATGAGTGAGATGAACGGTGGAGATGGAGAGAGAGTGAGTTCGGTGACGTGTCCGAGTCCAGATTTGAATGTGAAGGCTGACTCGTTCATTGCAAGGCATCATGATGGGTGGAGGCTTGAGAAGCTTAATTCTTGGAGAGAGAAACTCAACAAGGCTGGTAATGGGCCCACTTTTTAAGGGCCCACTTTATTTTTGGCCCAATATTAATCCCACGCTTCACGCTCACTTGTCACTACTACTACTTCTCCACCAACTTGGTGCTTAATTATTTCTATTGCTATTATTAGGTGGAAACTAAAAAGGGTGTGTTACATATGGTGTGGATTTGGATTGTTGAATTAGTTGGTATATAAGTTTGAGGTTAGGGTCTAATTTTGGTCCGTTTTATTGTATCCGGAATTAGAGTTTTGATGTCCATAAAAAGTTTTATATATTGTAGTTTACTGTAATTTAATAGAGGTGATCATGAGTCATGTCGACTTTTGATTTAGATGCAGCATATATCTAGGCTGAATCAAGATGATATTCCGACTTGATGTGCTATATATTTCACGGATATCTACGAAAGGTTATAGAATGCAAGGCAATAACAAGAAGGGTGATATGAGGTCATTTTCTCCCTTTTTTGGTGGGGAAAAGGAAATTGCAATTAAAGGGAATTGCAATTTACATTTTGTTAATGGAGACATAATTTTTAAAAAGAGCTCCACTTTTTAGGAAGAGATACCATGATGGGGCATCTTCCAATTTGTTTGGATTTGTTTTACTATTGTAATTATTTATCTCATCATTTTTATTTACTCTCTTTATAGTGAATAGAAAGAAAAGGAAAAAAAAAAAATGTTGGCCGGTATTGTGTTTAGGACATGAGTGGGTATAGTTTCATCGAGTATGGTTAAAAGGGCCCTCTTGGTGTCGGTTGAAAGAGCAATCTGCTCTCTTAAGTACACTTCTTCTTTGGCTTGAGGAAGTTGCTGTTAATTCCAACATAAATTTTCAGATCTTGCATGTTTGTTTTGTAAATTTTTGTATAATATTGTCCTTTAAATGTTTTTTATGATTAAAAACGAGAGAGAATTTTCTAAATTTCTCTCTAACCATAAGAACAAACATTGTTATATCAGAACTAGTTTAAATTAATTCATTCTAATGAGCACATTATTACCCCCTCAGTTTTTTTTCTTCTTAAAAACTTCGCTTGGGTTTGGACATTTGTCGATGCATAACTTTGACCATTAAAATATTTAATTAGATATTGGTAAAAATTATGCAAAAAATTAATTTATACAAGTGGACATTATGACAAATCCAACAACATTATAGTTGTTGATAGGTTGTCATACAACCAGATGTCTACAATAGGTGTACACAAATCATAAAATAATTAAAAGTTGAGATTATTTTGAGCGAATCGAGCAAAAGTTCGGATTATTCCTGTTAATTTTTCCTTATTGATATTTAATTTTCATAATATATTATCTAATGCGAGATTAAAAAAATTTGCGATAAAATATAAACGCATATCATAAAATAATAAAAAACTTCATATATAAGAAGTTAATAGAGATAAAATGCATGTTGGCGGTGCTTAATCAATCAAGTACAAAATTGTTATGGAATTTAATACACAAACTCTTAATAACACCCGGTTTACACTAAATTAGTGTAAATCGGGTTGGGCTGGGCAACTTCATCACCGAGAAAAATGATTTTGAGGAGAGAGAAAATGATTTAACAGCGAGGTGGTCGTCAATGGAGAGATGATCGAGGATTCTGAAGAGGAGTTCTTCGTTGAGGAGGTCGAAGGGGTTGTTGTTTTTCTCATGCTTCATCGATTTCACCATTGAAGGATTGAAGGAGAGAGAAAATGGAGGAAAGTAGAGGGAGAAGTACTGTAGTTGCTAATTGTAGAAGAAAAATGGTTGAATTTTGAGGAAAGTACTGTAGTTGCTAATAGTCCTATGATGGAGGATAATTGTATTGAATTGTATTGTTGGGAAGAAGGTGGTAAGGGCAGACTATAATTGATTTCGCCATTAAAGGAGAGAGAAAATGAAGGAAAATACTTGCTAATTGTAGAAGAAAAGGATAACTTTTTTATTTTGATACTCTGTTTTTGTGGAAAAAAAAGGTCACTTTTGTGAAAAAAAAGGGTCACTTTTGTGTAAAAAAAGGGTAACTTTTGTGAAAATATAGGTTACTTTTATAAAAAAAAAGGGGGTCACTTTTGTAAAAAAAAAGGGTCACTTTTGTGAAAATATGGGTCACTTTTGTAAAAAAAAAAAAAGGGTCACTTTTATAAGAAAAAAGGGTCACTTTTCATAAAATGTTCGATGTACAATAAAATTATTGTAAACCGGGTGCATGCAAAAGGTTTTGAATTTAATAATGACATACGAGACCTAGTTGCCTTGTGAATGTCCATCACCAGGGCGGGCTGGGACTTGATCTACTAATAACTGCAGGTCTATAGTTATCTAACAGATCAGTGACCCTAGCTAGTGAATTTCCATCATCGGGGCTAGGAATTGATTAATTGATAACTCTAGGTCCATAGTTATCTAAAAGATCAGACCCTTGAAATGGCCCTTGTGAATGTCCATCACCGGGGTTAGGACTTGATCTATTACTTTAGGTCCATATTTATGTAAGAGATCAGACCCATCTTGAAGTGAGCCTTGAGGTAGTGATTGAAATTTAGTAGTGACTTGATCTGTAGTTGTATATTAGAGGTTGTCATCTTGCATATTTATGAGGTCTTTTGTGGTTTTCGTTGTTTTTTTGGAGTAGTCTACCATTGACAATATGAATTTCTTAGTGGAAAAGTATTGCCACAATGAAACAAGCAATTATAAACTTGATGCTTCCCATTTCTAGCTTCAAGTGAGGAAGTGGAAACAAGATTTTTAAAGCTCTTAAATGTCTAAGTAAGAAGAGAAAGATGCTCTCACTTCTAAACTACTAGTCATATTTATAGTACTTGGACACCGTCAGATATGGTTAGTTTTGATATCAACAATAATAACAAGATACACATTATATGTCTAACATTTATTCTTATTAATACTAATTATTGTTATCAATAATTGATATTAATGTTAAGTATTGTTACCTTATTTTACATCAATTATTTTAATATTATTACTAAATGTTCATTTTATATTACTAGATGTTCATTTTTTACGTGTTTATAATTTTTTTTACAAAATCTTCATTTTTAAAATTGTGGGCTAGCAATTCTATGATTATATTGTGGGCTCTGAAGGAATTGTGTCTTCGTTAAGTGCAATTACTAGATATATCAAGGATCACTATTATGGAGATAATAAGTTCATCCTAATGGGGCGTCATCCTCTATTGCTAGACTATGAGAGATGATCTTTGGGCTAGTTAAATAGTCCAAAGCCCTTTAGAATGGATCCTATAAGGTCACACATAAGGGTAATGGGTTAAGCAAGTTGGAGGCCCATTAATGGGCCTTATGAGCGTTTAATTAGCCATAAGTATGATTGGGCTAAGTGTAGTTTGAGTGGGATTAGGAATTGGGATTTGACTTGGACTATTATTTAGAGATATGATCTATAAATAATAGTCATGCCTAGGGTTGATTAATTAAGTCACAATTAACATACAGTGAATTGTGAATCTAAGCAACCATCATCCAAAGTCCTCTCCCCTCTCAAACTCATGGCCCTCTCTCTCCCCTCTCACCCACGACCGGCCACCCTAGTGGTCCTCGTGGTGTTGCGCGGTGGTCTTTGGCTAGTTCGTTGTTCGTTCATCTCCGTAGAAGGTCAATTGAAGGTTTCAATTGCAACTAACTAGCATTAGTGGAGGTCTTAATCTGTGCCCGTGGACCAAGTAGAGGAATCACACTTGAGGTTCTTTATCTCCCTAGTTCTTGCTCGATCACCGGTGGAATCACGCTTCAAAGGTATTATTCTTACTCTTTATGTGTTATGCATGAGATCCTTGGTTAGGTGCTATATGAATATGATTAATGATTATTTCCGTTGCGTAGTACCTATAAACTCCTACAGTGGTATCAGTTAGCCTCTTGCAATTACATATATTGAGTAATAATTCTTTGATAATCCACAATTTTAATTCAATTAGGAGGGAGAATAATTTAATTATGGGTCAATTGTTATTTTAAATGTGATTTAACAATATAGAATCATTAAAGGTGTTTAATTTGCTCCATATTAACCTTGAATTGATCCGAATTTTTGCCCTAATAGCTTCGAAAATTTCGAACCCCAAGAACCCTAATTTTCGTAAATTTCAAAAATTTAAACCCTAATTTGTGAAATTTTGTGTTTAATTTTTGATTTATTTCGATTGTAATATGTTTGAAGAATTTAATCTATTTGATTACATGTTAAAATTATGAATTTTCATGATCAAATTATTTAATTTAAGTGTTAAATTAAGTTGGCGATTAATTTCATCAAGAACCCTAATTTCAAAATTGAATGAGATTTAGTTTTGGAATTAATTGGACCACATAAAGTTTAATTCAATTTTACAAAATCTGTTTTGTTTTATTTAATTGAAAATAAAAAAAAAAAATTCAGCAGCAGCAACCGCGGCTGGGTGGCGCTGCCACGGCGGCTGCCGCTGCTGGTGGTCCGGAGGGAGGGGCGGGGAGGGGCAGCATCACGGGTCAGAACAGTAACAACAGCAGCACCGTGCACCTGTAGCGCGACACTGCTGCTGCTGCCCTGCGCCGCTGCATAGCAGCGTACACCTTGCGGTGTACGACCACCGTGGCTGGCGACAGCTTTATCAAATTTTTTTTTATTTTGGATAAAATCAGATTTTCAAATTTTAAAAAGATAAGTTTTAATTTTGAAAAGATAATTAACAAGATTAAAGTTGTTAATTTTGTTAAGTTTGGATAATTATGGAGTAAAAGATTCTACTTGGATAATGATTGATTAAATAATGTGATTATCCCATAATTATTTATGGATAATAATTGATTTAAAATATGTGATTGGTTAGCAATTAGGATAGAATCTCCTAAATTAGTTAGGATAACCATGGAAGATAAATATGATTTATCTTTCATAACTAAAATATGATTTGATTCTATCTCTTACCTTAAATAAAATATATGATATTTTATGATTGGTTAGGAATAATATATGATATTATCTAATTGCAATAATAAA